GCGTTTCGTCGTTTAAAAAAGGTTGGGTACACTTTGAAGCTCGATACATGGGTGCCACATCAGTTGAGTGAAAAAAAAAACAAAGTGGACCGTATGTCAACAGCAATATCTTTGCTTCGACGGATCAAAAACGAACCTTTTTTGGATCGACTCGTGACTGGTGATGAAAAATGGATCCTGTACAACAATGTTCAACGCAAAAGAACATGGAAACAGGCACACGAAGGGGCGGAACCGATGTCGAAAGGTGGATTGCATCCGATGAAGGTACTGCTGTGCATTTGGTGGGATATCCGAGGCGTGATCTATTTTGAGCTCTTGCCATCTGGAGAAATGATCACTGCCAACAAGTATTGTCAGCAATTGGTCGAATTGAAGAAAGCAATTGATGAAAAACGTTCGATTTTGGCCAATCGCAAAGGAGTTCTTTTCCATCATGACAACGCCAGGCCACATGTTGCAAAACCGACCCTGGCCAAACTGAAGGAGATGAACTGGGAAATCATGCCGCATCCCCCATATTCACCCGACATTGCACCTTCTGATTATCATTTGTTTCGATCGCTACTGAACAATTTGAATGGAAAAAAATTTAAAAATGTGGCGACGTCAAAAACCACCTTGACACCTTTTTCAACGAGAAACCGCGCGATTTCTATGAATTAGTCATCCGTTGAACGTTGGGAGTGGATTGCCGAACATTATGGTGAATACTTTCTTCAAAAAATTTCAATTTTAGTTTGCACTTGAAATCGGGCACGAACTTATGCACTCATCGAATATATGTATTGAGTGGAGCTCGGGCATGAGCTTCGGTTGAAAAATTTGAGGTGGTATAGGGTGACCTTCCCTGTGGTGATTGAAGATAATGCGGTATGAACATTCCCGTGTTGCTTAAAAAGTTTGTTTGAGCGCTTTGGCACTTCAAATCCAGTGAAGCGAGGAAGTGCTCCAAGCGCTTTTATACCACTTAGGAACTGGCATGTTTCAGCCATTCATGATTCTGGTAAGCATTTTGGCATGCAAACATGCAAGCCTTCGGTCGTCTTACCAAGCACCTCGAGCTTGGCATATAATAAACACTTTAGCTTTAGGATTAGAGGGTTGTAAAAGGTGATTGGATTCATTAGGATCGTTAACGTTCTACGTGATTCATGTTTATTCTAAATATTAGATTTCATTGTTATTAAAAAGTTTAGAGTTTGAGCCATCGTCAACCCAGCCACATAATCGGAAGTGAAATATGGAAAAACTTGAAAATCCTGCCGTTATAAAGTTTCTTAGCTAGCAAGTAATATGAGTTGCGACCAAAATGAATGTTGATGTACAAGTGGCACAGTGTATTTAAAAAAAAACCCATCAACGAAATTTGAAAATTCAACCGATTTCTGAACAAACCCCGTATTGAGATATGATTTAAAAAGATGGATTTTGGTGGGATTAAAAATCTTTGGTACTGCAATGAGTGTGTCTAATGCAGTAATCGAATATGATCCATATTTTGACATAGCAAAATGAAATCTTTAAAAGAAATCCATTTGTCCGGTGTACAACTTTGCTTCCGCTGTTTTTTCCAAAATTAAAAGCTTAATTGCGGAAAAGTCCTTACAGATATATTATTCAAAGTATTGTCCTTCGCTAGCGACAACTTTCTCTCATCTTTCCGGCAATTTTCGGATCCCGGCTTTAAAAAAAGGAGTCCTCTTTTGACGCTATCCATGAAGCAATCCATTTCTCCAATTCTTCGAAGGATTGAAAATGTTGATCTGCCAGGCCGTGTGCCATCGAACGGAATAGGTGGAAGTCAGAAGGGGCGACATCTGGGGAATACGGCGGGTGGGGGTAAGACTTCCCATTTCAGCGTATCCAGGTACTTTTTGACCACTTTTGCGACGTGAGGCCGAGCATTGTCGTGTTGGAGGATGACTTTGTCATGTCGCTCATGATAGTGTGGCCGCTTTTATTTTAGCGCGCGACTAAGGCGCATCAGTTGGGTTCGGTAGCGATCTCCTGTGATGGTTTCACCCGGATTTAAGAGCTCGTAGTAAATCACACCGAGCTGATCCCACTAAATATCGGTTTTTTCTCTTCCTCCACTATGTTTGTCTTCGACATCGAAATCACCATTTTTAAAACGTTGAAACCACTCCCGACACGTTCTTTCACTCAGAGCAGCATCACCATAAGTTTCTGAGAGCATTCGATACGCTTCAGCTGCATTTTTTTTTTCGAATCGTGACAGAAAAGTAAAACTTCCCGAAAATGGCGAGAATTAGGCACATAATTCGTTACGCACTGTCCACACTCACTTTAAAGGCATTATCATCTATGTATTTCAATCAGTCTCAGCCGGTACAGCCACCGATCGGAAAACGGCGGAAGCAAAGTTGTACATCTGATATATACTCGTATATATACAATAATTGGCACTTTGTAAATGCTGAAGCGATATTTCGGGCGAGATCCTCCTCCAGTTTGTGGTTTTGCGTTTGGAGGGACCTATGGTTTATACTAAGCCACCTCCGAACGACTGCTGATTTTTATGAAGAGCTTTTTATTTCATATCAGAAATACCGTCGGAGGGGTCCTTGCGAGGAGCTACCGCAATTAGAAAATTTAACTTACTTTTTTTCCAAATTAATTTTCTACAATATTTGGATGTTGGTCGCACGGGGATTTGAACCCGAGCCTTCCGAATGTCAGTACGCAATTGCAAAAATCATAATTTTTATCGAAAACTGAATGATGAATTAAAAATAAAAGTTAACTATTTCATACAACGCGGTTTGGAATTAAAATTAAAAAAGAAAATGTGAAAATAACCTCGTCTTCCTTGAAAGATCTTATGAACGCATTTAGCTTTTATATTCAAAAGTGAGACCCGGTGCTGAGGAAACTTATTTTTTCTCATTTTTATAAGTTTTGATTTACTCAGAAACGCTTAAGAATAGAGATGTGAAACTTGCAGTATCAAATTATCTCTTTGGTACCCATATTTCTTAAAATTATGAGCTCGACACCTTTTTGGGAACTGTAAGTCAGGGTAAACTTATCGCTTAGCGTCGTTTGGAAAATTATTCCCTCGTAAAAGTATTCTCATTGACATAACAGCTGCAATTTAACATATATTTTGACATAAGTCCAGACTACTGAATGGCAGTGAGCGCCCAACACCCGGAGATGTTGAATCCCAAACCCCAATCGAGGATGATGGAAAATACATTCTATTACCGAACTAAGGCGTGGTTCGAATAGTGCTTGCCCACTTAAAGAATAATAAAGCGGCTGAAGCTGATAGCTTTCTGGCAAGGTTAATCAAGCATGGAGGCGAAAAGCTGACAAGGTACAAAAATCAACTTTTTTTTGATGAATATGGCGGCCGCAATAGCCGAGTAGTTAGCATTGCGTACTGACACTTTGAAGGCCAGTGTTCGGAAGCGGCTTAAAAATAAACTGTAAGTCTACCATCAAGACGCATACCACAAATTAGAGGAGGAGCTCGGCCGAAAATCGCTTCACCGGTTACAATACACCAATTATATATATGGGTGGACGAAAGAATGCCCAACGATTGGAACCTTAGTGGGAATCCAAGGTCTGGCATTAGCAGCCTAAATGTTGCATATAAATATTTATACATCGTCAACAAACCGATTGGATCTTATCGGTGTGGCTTTATTCCTGTTAGATCCACTATTGATCAGATATTCACTATGCCTCAAACCCAGTAAAAGTTCCGTATAAAAAAAAAACGATACGCACTAATTTTACATCCATTTTCAAGTACGAATAGGAGTTGCCTTTACGCCGATATATCTGAATTTGGTATCCCCGCAAAACGTATACGGCTGTGTAAATTGACGCTGTGCAACACCAATATCCCCGTTCGGATCGTCTATGATCTCTTCGAGCCGGACGGTACCGAAATTGTAGACAAGGTGAGGGTTTATCGTGAGAATTCTTTAATTTATTTCTGGAGAAAATAATAGAGACTTGCAGAGTGTACAACTGCGGCCGTATGTGAATGATATTTTGATATCATAGTCTGTTAGTTCTACTTCCTCCAGGCTCGCCAATAGAAAGCGAAGCGAATGGGTCTGGTAATGAAGGAAACGACTTTCGTCACCAAACAAATAATCATTGCATACGCCATTCAGAAACGTGCGACCTGTAGAATCCTCGCTCGACGAACGAAGACCAAAGTCTACAAGTCGCTCAACATTCCCGCCATTTTAAATGGTACAGAGGCAGGGACGATGACAACATGCTGATGAGTCGACGTTAGAAAATTTCGGGAGAAAAATTTTGCATAAGATTTATAGTCCTTTTGTGATAGATGATGGAACTATGAGCTGTACGAATTATACGATAACATATATAATTAAGCAAATAAAAAGACAGCGGCTATGCTGGCTAGCTTATGTCGTCCGAATGGATGAAAGCACGCCAGGCTTGAAAGTGTTCGATGCAGTATCCGCTGGTGGGCGCAGAGGAAGAGGAAGACCTGCACTCTTTTGGAAGAATCTGGTGCAGAGCGACCTGGTCTCAATTGGTACTTCTAACTGGAGCCAAACATCGAAGTGAAGTAATTAATGGGGCGCTATTATTGATTCGAATAAATTCGCGTAGGCGCTGCCTACGTCAATGAAGAAGAGACGAAAAAGATTTAAGTCCTTATTCAACCAAAGGCTAATTCTATATTTCTGGGCATACCTTTATTTTAATTCTAAAAAATTTTACAAAAAAAAAACGCTTCATCCCAACGAGCACGTCATTTTCCCGGCTACAGTAAAAGCTGCACTCTTCTCCACTTTTCCATTTGATTGTTTGATGGATTCTTTAATTCTTTGAATATTAAATTCCTAGAAAAGAATTAATTATACTAATAGCATTATGTCTGTATGTATATGTGTAATAAGTTTAATTTACAAAAAAATAAGCAAATTTTATAGAAAGTTTTCGTAATTAAGTCTGGTTTTTTATTTAATTTTTTTTTGCAGCAAGAAATGATGGCAAAGAGGGACTTACCGTTACCGAAACCAAACCGATGACGACGAACAGTTCAATGGATGACCGAGATTTCAATGCGGCCGCACATGAAGTTGTGGAGGAAAACGATGACAGCGACGATCCACCGTTAGCCGAAATGCTAGATCCCGAACTACAACCCGAACAGCCGATTGCCGACAATGAAGAATCACAAGCCATTTACAGAGACCATCGACGTTTAGCCAAAGAATATTTACGCGTAGACACGCGGCTCTACTATGCGCAGGATTTCAAGGAGAAGATTCTACTCGGTTTAGATCCCGAAGAAAGACAACAGAAACAGGAGATGTTGCGCAAAATTAAGGAGAAAGTAAGTGCAAACTTTTTTTTTGTCTCTTATAATGTTTTGCTTTTAATTATAATTTTTTTTCTTTTTATCCCTTTCGCAGCAAGAGCTCTTGGAACTCTACAACAATTTGAAACAACAACGTGAAAATCTACTCGCCGAACAGGCGCGTGCTGTGGCACATCCGAGGGGTGCCGAGGTGACACAACAACAGATGGAGTTGCTTGCGGGCAACGCGCGATTAATGGCGCAACAACAGACTAGTGCCGATGGCAGCGGACAGCAACAACAGCCGCAGGAAATGCTCGCCGATGACGGTTGGGTGGTCATACAGCGCAATCAGAATGCGTAGTTTGCATTCGGTTAACAATATTATTTTAGTTTTAATTATTTGTTTTGTGTCTTGTTTTTTTTGAGTAATCTTAAGTGAACGCTAGGGTTTAAACGCTTTCAAAGTAAGAACAAGAGCAGCCAGTTACGGAGGAATTAAGAAAAAAGAAGCCATGTCATTAAAGAAGAATTAAGCATTAATTTTTGTGTTAATAAATAATAAATATGTATAGGTGAATGTATTGTTGAATATTCTATGTATGTTTGTATGTGTGTGTGTTAGTGATTTGACCATTTTTCTGTTCTCTATTAAATAGACATGCCATATGTGTATGCATGTTTGAGTCATTGTGTAAATCTTATGTGGAAAATGTATTCTATATAATACTGTTATTCGAAAATTGATACATTTGTACTGTAATCAGGTGCAAGAACTCTATACCAATAAAGTTAGTAATGTAAATATGTAATTTAATCAACAGAAAAAAATGTTAAAAATCTCTAAATTTTAGATTAATTTTCATATAAAACAAGACAGAAGAACAGTCTTTGGTACAATCTGGCTGGTTCAGCTCTTCACTCTTCACCCGATCGGTATAAAGTTTGATGGATCTGGTACTTAAAAACTTCGCACCAAAGTTGGATGAAAGCATACATGACGACGGAAACAAGATCTGCTACGACTCCAACAGCAACGACTTAAAACAGCTAATGTTACCTGTTGCTCTAAACGGCGCTGCAACGCCGAAAAGGTGACAGCCCTTGGCCGGATAAAATTTGGGTCAACTCCCACTCTCCGTCTGGTCCGAACCTGTCGAAACAGCTTATTTCCTGGACCTACCGTTAGGACACCTCGGTGACTTAGACTAACTAGCCTGTCCCTATGCGGGGTGGGAAAAGCTGCTACAACAACAGCAACGACTCTTAACAGCTATCAACAAAACTTACGCCCTTTGACGGTATAAAATTCGGACCAACTCCAGCACTTAGAGCCGGCTATCGCTATGGGTTCCACAGGATAATGCCCTCTCCTCACTATTGAGAGAAGGTTATGCCCTTGATCGGTTAATACTTTGACCTTAGGCATACTGCAAACTCATGACGCAGCTGACAAAAAGATAAAGAAAGATTGATAACTCCCGATGTTGCGTGACTAGTGAGACGCAGATGAGGAAGTTAAAAATCTGTTAAAATTCCACCTTGAGCACCTTATCGGGAAACTGACATCCAATTGGCATTGTACCATCTCCACTGCGTAGCATTCATACGCTCATTTAAGAGATTAACTTTGAAGATACTTGATCGAACCAGAGTCCCTTTGCATGAGGAAAGAAGTACAAGACTACACTCATTTAATGCAGCAATACTGAACCTAAACGGGGTTAAGTGGCCGAGTCCGGATCAATTGCAGTGTGTAGATGTTGTTGTTTTCTTGCTCTCATATGCCGATGACTGTAAGATATTGGCACCTGACCCCTGACCAGGTGATAGATTATCAAATGCTCGAGCGTTCTCTCTTCTTCAAAGCTCGACATCTTCAATTATAACCAGTAAAATCATCGCCCAACCTTTTCAATAACTGGAGAACTTGATGTGATAATTTATGATATAAAAATTCCGACTGTGATTATCGCTAAAGTACGGAGCGAGCAACTCCTGGGATAAGGACGTTCCTCCGATTTAGACATCGGGGACTAGCATGAAAGGAACGAAGTACCTGACAATGAGTCCGTACTTCGTACTGTCTGGTATTAAACGCCATTCATCAAGAGTCCAACACTACTTTCATGAACTCTCTTTCTGTGATTTGACATTAACAGACAGCTAGAGCTGCTTCAATAAAATAGAGTGCTAATTAACCTCTGCTTCAACTTTCTTCAATGGAATGGCGTTATTAAGACCTGATACTACGTGAGACTCGGATAGTCTGGTTGAAGTTTGAGTATTGGAACAGATTAAGTTCTTACTTATGCACACTCAACCCTCAACTTACCAAACGCAATATGGCTAGCAAACAATGATACCAACCAGCTCTATGTATGCTCTCTTAAACCACCGATGAAACTAAGATTACTCTCTCTTTGGAACGACCTCATCTAAACTCTTTGTTTCCTGCGCCTACACGTTAGATCATCTCGACTAGATTACACTGTAATAGAGCCGAATAAAAGCGAGAGGCTGTTGAAGAGGCTAAAAACACGTCAAAAATACCCTTGAGAATCATAAAGGAAAATTTACTCAGCCTGCGGTAGCTTCTGACTCTCTGTTAAAGAGTTCAAGGCAGGGACCAGCCAACGAAACAGCTCATTTTATTAGATCACCTCGTTGACCTACAAGTACTTTTACCTGTTCTTAAAAAGGTTACCAGACTCCTACGGCAACAACATATGCAATCACATAGATAATGCCATATCATCCAATACTAAATGACAGCTTCGGTGACAATATCCGGTTGACAAGAAAGACAGAAAAATCATTGCCGCCGGTATGTAGTGAATAAATTGATAAAAATATTTATATTTCTTGCCTATAGTACAAACTTTATTCAAACTTTTCTTCCTTTCTCTTTGGCCTTACAAACTTACTAACATAGATTTATGTTTAAATGCACTCACTGGTTCGTTCGAAGAGTCAAGACGAGTTTTAAGCAAATAAAATACTCGTGCTAAACGTACACGTAAGTACATACACACATAAGTATGCACATACATTGTTAAAGTTTTATATATACATACAGAATGAACTATTATAATATGTCAACCACTTTGGTCTCAAAAGTTAGACAGAACAATAAAGAATCTCTCTAAAATTTTATCACAACAATGAGGAGGTGAAGATCTGTTTTAAAATTTGCGGCAATTTGGTCAAGTCCATGCAAACGTAACTGTGACCCGCCGGCATTTGAGCATTGATTCTGCAAGTAGATTTGTATTTGTGTAAATATATTAAAGACTCTCTCAAACTAAACTTACTCATCAGCCTCCTCCGCCAAGCTGCCAATGAATAGCACATGACCTCTGACCTTCGGCTCACCATTCATTAGCGCCTTCGCTAGCTCTTTCGGTTGTATGCCGTAGCGTGATAAATTCGCATCACTGAGCACTACAACAATAGAATTGTCGTATTCCTCATTGGACAGAGTGTTGACCGCCTCTTTAATAGCTTTCACAGTGCTGTCACCGGACCAGCAGAATTGTGAATGTGCGTGCATCATGCGTATGGTCTCGAAACGTTCTTTATCGGTTTTTGGTGGACTGCCAGCACAAACGAATGGTATTTCCCAGCCCTCACCGCTATGACCAACAATATCGTAGACGATTTTCTTTTCAAAGCCCTCAAATGCCTCCATAACCATAACGACAGCTTCAAGCTCACGATCCAAACGGCCATCGTAGCCATTGAATCTGAAAGTGAAACGGGATTTCTAGATTCGTAAAAGTGCAATGTGATTGAGAACGACTAAGCAGATACCTATACATAGATCCGGAGACATCAACCACCAACTTCAGACGATTCGGTTTTTCTTGTACGTGATCCGCCCATGGATTGGCCTCCGCGCGACGTCTATAGATATTCTTTTCGCCTGTCATGCCCTCAATTAAACGCGTATCATCCAATTCGCCGTGCGTCTGGTACTTCTGCCATTGGCGCTCCTTACTCTTCGTTTGCATGGCTTCCAAAACGGCTTTCAGTTGTTGTACTTGCTTCCTTATCGGTTCGCTAAATTGTGCATACAATTGATGGTCGTGTGCAGACATTCGTATCTCTTTTAGCTTATCCTCGAACGCTTTACGGTTCATTTCACGTGCTGCACGTTTCACTTCCTCGGGTATGGCGTCTTTCTCTTCGTCCGAGAGTTGATGCACTTTGTGACCAGCGTCCAAACGAAACGGTCCACCTTTGCCACCTAGACCGGCTGTGTCGCGGCCACCGCTACCGCCTGCCCATGTATTGCCACCCACATGAGGTTCATTTTTGGGATCTACCTTACCATACTTAGGACCAGAGACACCGAGTCCGCTTGTACGTTCAACTGTTAGCTGGATTTCCTTCTTGCGTCTCAAAGCGAAAAGCTCATTACGTGCATAGGCTTCGATGGGTAGACCATGTTTAGACAAAACTGTTGTCACTTGCTCGAGTGCTTCGGGTTGGTATTTATCAAAGTCCAACACATTGCCAACCAACTCGGACATGGAATCATTGGGATATTTCTCCAAATGTTTAACAATATTCACAACTTCTCTGGTGGAGTATGGGTAATTCAAAAGACCCTCATCGGCCATGGTGCGCAGTTCGCCGAAGGCATTAACAAGCATCGCGAGCGTTTTCTTAGGCACCGAAGGACCATACTTCTGCAGTAGATATATTTCTGAATCCGGTGAAGGATTATCAATCGCATGACAGCTGAAGACATCACCTAGAGAGGCGAAGAAATCATTGCCGAGGAAGGGAAAGCCGGGTCTGTTGGCTAAAACAATAACACGGAAATTGGGGTGCATCTCAATGATTTCACCACTGTGCCCTGCTTCCTTCGCAGCAGCAGCTTCACCAGCTGGCACTATTTTTCGCCCATCTGATAGAAACATTTCGCCATTCTCGACGAGTGTACGCAATATGCAGGTCACGTTCACAGGCGCCTTATCAGCCTCATCAATGACCAATATGTGTCCGCTCTTCACCGCCTTCACCAGTGGACTATCCTCGTAGATTACCTGACCTTCGCGTAGTGTCGACTGCACCGTTAGACTATGTACAGTGGTGTCACGATGCAGCTGAAGGTACTCGCGTGGCTTATTCATCAACTGAAGGAGTTTATCGATAAGCTTGTTTTTGCCTACACCTTGATTGCCAACCAACAGCAGATGCTCACCAATAATGAAATCCTGTAATAGACGCTCCAAGAGCTCAACATGCTGCGGCATCTCATAAAACAGCGTACTCGGCACTTTTGACTCAGCGTCTGTGGCAACAAGCGGCATCGTTGTGTTGCCTATAGTCAATACATTATTCTCTACGTTAATCTTGCGTCGTGTTTCCGTGCGTGTGTTGCTTTTTTCGATGCCGGCACGCGCTATCGCATCTTCGAGTGCGGCACGCGGCAAAGCGGGCATAAATTTGGCGAGGAAAGTATTCTGCAGAATATCGTAAACAGAGTTTAAAGCATTCGACTGCTGATCGCCACTGGGAAAGGCGGACATGCGACGCGCAATTTTCAGCAGTTGACGCGTAGACAAAGTGCCGGCTAAGTTTGAGAGTGTGGGATCGTTTGAATCACGCAAATTATGTGATAAATTTATGATTTTATTTATATCCTCATCAATTTCACCATACAGTTTGCGTATTATTTCATACTCCTCACTCTGTTGCAGCGGACGAACTTCGAGGAAGAGGAATAAGCTTAGCATTTCAGATGTTAACCAATTCTGCGCTGGCTGGTTGGGGTTTGGTGGCTCGGCCAGCGCAATAATGCGAAATGAATCGTGTATTTTCAGTATATTCTTTTCAGTCAACTCAAGTTTGGTGTAACCTTGCTGTATCAGCGCATTATAACGATCAGTGTGTAGAAGAATTGTGCCGTCGCAGAGTTGTAATTCTCGATCTTGAATTAAGCTGTATAGAAAAGGTCAAAAAACACATTGTTATGCATTAAATATGGAGTAAAAACCAAATATACGAACCGTTGCAATGCTGTTACAGTGCTTTTATGTAAGCGATGTATGCCATTTAGTACTGCTATCGAGCCATATTTTGCGGCGCGTACCAATGGCGAGTCGCGCCATACTGTATCACCTTCCGCTGAGGTAATGCGTTGCTGTATTAAATCACGCGAAGTCATATCTTCGTAGAGTATCATCGTCTCCACCGATTGGTTCAAGGAGTGAACTAAATGATTGGTTAGTGTCATCTTGCCAACACCTTTTTGACCTGTTGACGAAATTGGGTTTAAAATATTGCATAAAATAAAAACAATAGTCTATCCCATATACCAATTAAACAAATGTCTCCTACGGCAATTGATTGTATCATTGCGGCTAAAACATTGCGCTGATGAGCCAGATCTACAAATTCTTTGTTTTTCTGTGATGTAACTGGTCGTTGGCCGCCAGGTGCTGAGATGCATATATCATCGATTTGGAACTGCACCATATTCGGTTTATGCTCCTGCGGCGGAGTTACGGCGATACTTTTCACGGGATTATTTCTTATTGTATCGATTTTTAAGGACTTAAGCAATGTTTTTATACGTTCCGTGTGCTCCTTTTTCATGCATGTTTGATATGGATAGATGCGTGTTATGCAATCATGTACGCTTAGGTGCGGATTCGTTTGCTATAAATGAAATGTATAGATTTACTGTTTATAGTTAAATATTATTTTCCTTATCAGTACCATCATCTTTGACACCAGCTGAAGGTTATCTAATGGAAAATCGAGCAGATTGTCAGTTTGATCAGCAGCTTGTATCGCCATGCCAAAGCTTATTAAACTTTTCAATTTATCCATTGGCACATTTGGTGCACGATTTTGCAGATCAAATAGCATTTCCTGAAAAGCATAAACAATTTTAGTTTTTTTTTTTTATAATAATTAAATGGTCTACGCACATCGAAAGCATTATGTGTTATATTGCGCGATTGAAAACGTGAACGCAATGGTGGATCTAATGGTGTGCCCTTATACTTGTGCGTTGGCAGCCCAAGCGCAACTACACGGAAATCTTCAGAAACACGTAGCACGCCCAATCTATCCAACTCTGCTTTGGTGTAATTCTGTAATTAAGGATTTGTAATCAAATAATCTACTAAAAACATATTTTTGCTGATTACAAACCTCCAATAATTTGTCATAACGTTCGGGCGCCATTAAAAATTTACCATTTTCCAAATGCATTTCTCGATTCTCTAGTAAATTATTTAAAATGGGTAGAACATTGCGTTCTGCATGCTCCACACCATCCAAAACCAGCACTCGTCCATTAACCGCTGCACGTACGGCACACTATTTTAGAAATAGAATTGTAGAAATCTACGCCTAACAGTTTTGCACTTATTACCCACCTGATCGTAATAGATGGCAGCTTTTTCCTTGATTTCACGTCGTTGCTTCAAATCGCTCTCTGTGGTATCTCTACTCAAGGCAATATACTCCAATTCACGTTGTGTCAGCTCTAGATATTGCATAGCCAACTGTCGTCGTAACGAACCGGGTTGGCCAATTAGGAACATATCTTGTTTCAAAATATCTTTCTGCAGCATCCAACGTAAGTGATGTAATGCTGATTGTGTTAGTTGTAGTGTGCCATCTTCGTTATATTGCACTGTAAGCGAAGTAAGTTTTATACTGGCTATATGAATATGTAATGTAATGCGCATTTGGACTTTGACCTATAGTCAGATGCTTTAAACACAACCGTCTTTCACATACCATACTTTTGAGGCACTAGCTCTGGATTTTTTGGTGGTTTCAAATCTTTCGCTACATCACCGATTTTTATACGATCACTGGTCAATTTAGTATTGCTATTCACCGCCATAGCTTCCTCTGTTGTTGTTGCGTAAAATTTCATGTAAATTGGTGTAAAAGGTGGCAATTTCACTTTGAGGTTTTGCCATAGCAAACTACTTGTCGGTTTCGATATTCTACTTAAAGTTATTAACATTTTACTAAAGATTGTGAAATAAGAAAAATTAACTGTTGTTGAACAACAAAGCAAACAACACCACAATAAAAAAGCTGCTACACGTTTTACAGCTGCTGCTTAATTATAATTAAGGAGTGTGAAACGTAAACATAAACAGCTGATTGGCAATACAGCTGTTTTCTTGTGCGCGGACGCAATGTATCGATTTTCGATTGTATCGATAGGCGTTGTATTATGCTATCGAATTGATTTTGATTGTTACATTTTATTCGGCTTGTAATTAAACCACTATATAAAAGAATGTATTTTAAGTAATAAGGAAGGTTTGTAAAAAAAAACAATTTTAGGCTTTAAAAGCGAAAAACTTAAAAGGAAGTTTTATAGTTCTCTTCAAACACACCTATTTACTTAAATTTTAAAGAATTTGAAAGTAATACCGTGGAAGGTTTTGACAATTTTCGGCAATCGAATTTAAGAAAACAAACAAAAACAAGGTGCATTGCGATTTTTAATAATTTTCCTGCCGATATCACCTAATAATAAATTCATGAAATTTTTTTAAATAATTATACATATTTCGTTCAAAACTAATTATATAAAAGTTGTGATTTGGAAGATTTTGAATACTTTTAATATAAAAAAACATTAAACGCGACCTTGTATTGTCTTTAATGGCGTAGACAACGATTACGAGTTAACAACAGTGCACCATTCATTCCTTCTCTTCGCTATTTAGCGCCAGTTGCAAATACCAAGTGAAACCATTCGCCCTCCACCAGATCTTCAAATGGAATGTAGCTATTCCTGTTCCTCCACCTCTTCCTGCGGTTACTGTATCCAAAACTTTTAAAGCTAGAGTATTATTATCCGTCCGGAACAGCGTAGCTGCAGTCTCTTGATTCGCTGAACTATGTCAACGGCTGTGGTATTCACCGTATCCAAAGCACAGAGAACCACAAGTCTTACACAATTTGCCTCGAAAACTCTTAACGCCGATTAATCAGATGGTATCATCGTTCGTACCTTCGCACCATGCAATTGGACGGAGGAGAGAGGACTTTACTTTTTCATTGCCTACTCAACTGAACGTAGCAACTGTTGGCAAGAATGATTCTGGTCTTAAAGCTGGTTCCAAGATAGAGGAATTATCTACGACATCAAAGTTATGACCGTCAAGAGGAATGTGAGAACCGAGTCGCGAGTGCGATCAGGGGAAATATTTCGTCTGGAGAGAGCAGAATTCGCGGCGCATGTTGAGGCCAATTATGTAAATATCCGCGTCGTAGGCCAGTCACTGTGTACTCTTATAGAAAATTGTGGCCACTCGGCAGAGAGAGGTCCTTGCCGTACCTGGCGGAGCTTTGTGTATTGCTTAACGTCAGTTTACACAGCTGTTTAAGTTGGGCAGGGAAACCAAGTCTAGGTATTTAAAATTCTTAGAGGCAAGCATTTTATTATTGTAGTTTTTGAACTACCCCATCTTATATACTCGTACATATACATATGTACATGTTCCTCATTAAGTTTTATTAAAGATCAATATACGAGGGGATTAACAAAAGTTCGGTCTTCCTTTCAAATTTTTCAACGATCGGCTGAGACGAGAAAATGCAAGATAGCTGAGAATAGGTCAGACGAAATTCCACCACCAACCCAAAACAGAAATTTCCCATGTGATTCTCTTCGGGTTTCGGCGTAACTTAATGCCAACATGAATATTTAGTGAATGCCAAATTTCATATGGAACGATTGCACTGTCTTTAAAGACCTTTGCTTGGTTGCTCTGAAGATTCCAGACCGGACATTTTTCTGTAGAGGACGAGATCCGAAAAGGTCGACCAAAATCTTCCATTGATGATGTGACCGTGGCTCTGGTGAAGTCAAAAATTGACGAAAACAAACGATTGACACAAGAAATGATTGCTAACGAATTGGGCTTGGATGCCATGGCTGTATTGGAAATATTAAGTAATCATCCGGGATACACGAAGAAATCTACCCAAAAAGAGGCTGGAGTCAATGTGACTAAATTTTTCCAAAACAAATTCAAAATGGGCAATCTAGCAACTTTAGAAAAGTCGTTACTGGTGACGAAACTTGGTTCTATAAGTACGATCCAGAAATCAAACAGCAGTCCATGGTATGGAGATCAACAGGAGCAAGCCCACCCGTAAGTTCTAAACAACAAAAATCAGTAGCAAAAGTAGTGATGTCAGTTTACTTCACCCGATCTGAAACCGTAGCTGCTGTTTCATTGGAAAAGGGTCACATGGTAACTGCAAATTGATACACTGAAGAGTGCTCACCAAAAGTTTTCAAAAATTTGTAGGAAAAAAGAAAGAAAGAGGATTTGCGACGGTGCTGAAACAACAAAAAATACGTTCAGCACCATATTCCCTGGATATAGCACCTTGTGATTTCTGTTTATTCCGAAATATTAAAAAAAAATGTAAAAGGAAAGGTCCTTAATAGCAACGAGGAGACACCTAATGCGGTTAATGCTGAATTTGATAAGCTAAACAGCAAGATTTTGAAGATTGTTTTCAGAGAAGGGTCTATAGGCTTAAGACATGCGTTGAAAAAAGGGTAAAGTTTGCGAATAAATACAAAAAAATATTTTTTGCTGGTCAACACTGCCGAACTTTTGTTAGTCCCCTCGTAAATGTATATATGTAGGTGTACACTAAAATGTGCAAAACTCACAATGAAAATATTGAAACCATAAATTCCCATACAATTTTATACATATTTGCACATACATACATACATATGTATATGAGCGAGTACATATGTATGTACATATCTATACAGCATTTGGAACTGAAAAGCTTAGCTGCAGAAACACTCAGTAGATAAAACAGAACTTAATAAATATTAAATAAAATATAAATACAAATAGATTTAGCACTTACATATGTACGCATACTCCGTGAACATACTGTATGTATGTATGTATGTATGTACTTCCACGTCTTAATACTTGCGACTGTAGCGTCGCATACCTTTTCCGGTCCGAGCTGAGTTAATTTTTATCAACAAAACTTTTTCCCACAGCACAAAATCAACGATTGAAGGGCCTGCAAAAAAAAACAATATAAATAATAAATATCACTTTTATGATTATACTCTAGTGCTTATGTATGTATGTACGTATGAGTGTAGGCATTTAAATGATTGTAAATAAATAAATCGTGCTTTGAACGCATAAAAATATCAAAAAGTGAAGTGTTGTTAGACGTCGTATCAACTGCAACAATTGATATATTATGTGCATACATACATATGTATGTACATAACTTTATTTACGATGACTTTTTTTTCGTAGTAAAGGGTGATTTTTAAGAGCTATGGGAAAGTTTTCCAAAAAAAAACACATCAAATTAAAAAAAAAATTCATGAGGTCTTTATTTGAATCGATAGTGCGGTCCATATAATTTAATGTTTGAAGATTATTTCCTGCTAATGTTGACCGTGGCTGCGCCTTAAATCCGCTAAATCCAATTTGACATACTCTTTGCCACCTTTCGGCCGATATCACACGAATAAATGTCAATCAATGTTGTCCTCTAATGCGTCAATTGAAGCAGACTTGTCTGTATAGACATAAGATTTAACATAGCATCACAAAAAATAGTCTAAAGGCGTTAAATCGCACGATCTAGGCGGCCAATTGACCGGCCTCGAATGTGAAATAAAATGTTCACCGAACTCGCCTCTCAATAAGTCCATTGTTACGCTTGCGGTGTGGCATGTGGCACCGTCTTGTTGAAACCACATGCCATGCAAGTCAGGCTCTTGCATTTTGGACGAAAAAAAGCTTGATATCAGCTCACGGTAGCGCTCACCATTTGCAGTTACGTTACGATTCGCATCATCTTTGACGAAGTACGGTCCAATGATGCCACCAGCCCATCAACCGCACCAAACTGTGACTTTTTCTTGATGCATTGGTTGCTCTTGCAATGCTTCTGGCTGATCTTCACTCCAAAATCGACAATTCTGCTTATTTACGCACCCCTTAAGCCAAAAATTAGCTTCGTCGCTGAAAACAATTTTTTTCTTGTTTTTTTTTTTTTGAACTTTCTTAACAGAGCACGCATTTTGATTATAAAATTTAATAATTTGCAAGACTTGTTCCTTTGTAAGACGATTCATGGTTAAATTATAAACCAAACTGAAGATGTTTGACAGTGAAACAAAACACGAAACGTGCCTCAGCTGTTGAAGCCAATGTTGTCAAAAAAAGTAACAGCTAAAAAAAACACCCTTTAAAACTAGAGTAAGGTTATGTGTAATACAATGTTTATTGGCCAGGTGCGAACGCATAATAATTAAATAATAAAAAGTTACACTGGCTGGCTGATGCACCTTATATAGAGCCGATGGTATTCACATGGAGATCGGTTTTATTGAGATTTAAATTGGTCGTCGTATAGGACGACAATGGATTTCACGAACTTGACGAAGAGAGCCTTCTCCACTCCTTTGAACTACGCAGCGCCGAGATATCTAAGAAGAGTTCTGGCTAAGATCGGACAGAAATAGAGTAGGTGTTCTAGCATCATGCACTCATGTCTTCATTCATACATTTCCTAATATGCAAATATAATTAAAACTGGGAAAATATAGCTGTGTGGGTACTAATATTTGGTAAGATGGCCACTTGCATCTATATCAACTGAAGATTATGGCTCATGCACTGAGTAAGGTGGTTTAAGTCACAATTTTCAGGTATTTTTTCCACTCTACCTTAATGACCTTAATAAGAGTGTTTTTATTAGTTGGACCCCGTTTGCCCACTCGTTTCTTTAAAAAAGCCCATAAATTTTCTATAGGGTTTAAGTCAGGACTCTGGGTAGGAGAGTCAATCACTGTACTGCAATTATTTAGTAGCCACGTCCTGCACAACAATGATTTATGTTTGGGACGTTGCCTTGGTAAAAGTTTGTACCTTAATTTATTAGGGATTTCATGTTCAACAAATCCAAGTCTTATCGCTCTTCTTGACAATTCGTTCTTTAGAATATCCAAGTACAACTCTTTCGTCACCACTTCAATGAAAATTCGGAGCTCACCAACACCTTTCGACGAAATGCAATCCCAAACTATTACAGAAAGCTTA